TGCTATGTAACTTTTTATATTTTGCAAAGTCAGCCATAAAAAATATGTTAATTCTTTCACACTTTTATGCAGTTCTTGGAAATTTCTTTGTCTGGTGTTAAATATGATATTTAAAGTCTTTCATAGATGTTTTACCTCCATATTGTATGATTTATAACCTAGAAAAAAAGAAAATGTATTTCATATGTAGCTTTAACAAAAATGTATTTAGAGTCTATAGAATATTTTGGGTTCTTATCACAAATATTCATGTCAGTACTCATTTCCTCATATTTTGTATATAGACTGACAATATTTAACTTCTTTTTTTTTTTTTACCAATAATAGAATCTAGTACAATGGCTTCATATTTATTTTTTTAGTTAAAAAAACAAAAACAAACTTCACTGAATAGTATGAATCTGTAAATTGTGCTTTTACTACCTCGACCACATAGACTTAATAATATCCATCCATGTAAAACTACTTAGAAAAATTCCTGTCTTTTTAATGGTTTGCAAAAAAAAAAAAAAAATTTACTACAGTGTACTTAATGTCACAAGGATGTAAAACCATCTCTTCAAACCCCTCTTTCATAGCTGGAAAGATACTAACAATTATTCTTGGGATAGGCATGGATCCATCACTTCTCCTCTCAGCAGGGTTAAACAGCAGGGTAGACTAGACTTCCTTATTTTGCATGTAACCAGTGTAGGAGGAGGACAACTTTGAATTCAAAAACTCTGGAGAATGCAGTAGAATGCATTTTTCTAAAAAAAAAAAAAAAAAAATTCTTGTGAATTCATAGATAAAGAAAAAAATATATGGAGAGGTATAATTGCTTACAGTTGGAAAGGACATGGCATTAAAATTTTCAATTAAATTTTCATTGCTTTGGAAGAGAGTGACTATAAGAACTTCAGTCACAATGTAGCTGAAGAGGGAAAATGTGTTAAGAAGACTGCTTCACCAGTCTTCTAAGTGGGGAGGAACTTATTTTCTTGAAAATGAAAAATCTTCACTTTTTATATGCCACCAGTAGGAAATATGTAGTAGAAGATATATATTATATATATGATATACTGACAAGGAATGAAAATTAGAATGGAAAGCATTAATTCCTAGCTGCAAAAGGGGTGTAGTCTTATATCAAATGTGGTGATTGAGAGATAAACTTGCTAATTATGCAAGGTGAGCTTTTAAGTATTATGCAATTCAGGTATAGTATTAAATTTATTAATATGAAAGTGACTAGTAGAATTTGAATATTTAGATAACTATCTGAAAAGTGTTTTATAATAGATGATGAAAAATATGACTCAGAAATCTGAAGGTGCATTGGAATAGCAAAAATGCCATTCAAAAACTAAAAGTATTAAGAAACAGGAATATTTCCTTAGAAACAAAGAAAAGAGTGCTGAATGTTATGTAATATCAATCCTCCTATATGACCGAATGCTGGATAATTATCTCACAGATGAAAAGATTTGAAGTGACAAATGTGGTCTTACAGAAGGCTGCTAAGAATACCATGGATAGACGATATGAATAAAAAAGTTTTAAGAAAAATGGGAACAAAAACAGCACTTGTACGTATAATCAGGAAGAGACATTTTAAATTCCTAGGACATATAACAAGAAAAGACAGCTTGTGAGAAAAACTCACAGATCATATTGAATATAAGAGAGGCAGAAGGAAGCATTGCTTAACCTACCTAAAGAGCTTCTGTAAATGGATGGCAGCACAGGGGAGGGATAGTAAAGAGACAAACATTGCTTAGAAGTACAAAGGACAGCAAGTTATGGAGAGCTATGATCACCTCTGTCCTGAATGGACACAGTACATAAATGAAGATATACAGAGTGCTATGGATAAATTGTCATCTAAATTACACAAAAATGAAAATAACACTGACATTTCATTTTAACAGATATATTTATCAAAATGACACAAAACTATCTTGAAATAATAAAGAGTAAATTTATTCAATAAAATCACCATTGACTTCAACTACAGCCTCCAGTTGACTTTGGAATCTCCTAGAACTCTTCTGGATGGTCTCTTTGTTTAAGGTGGTGAATGCTGTCATAATTCTTGCCTTCAGTTCATCTTTGGTGCTACAAGGAGTTTTATTGGTCTCTCGCTCAACTGCACCCCACACATAATAATGAAGGGTGTTGCAGTCTGGGGAGTTAGATGGCCATGTGGTCAGAGAATTGCAGAAATTGTCTGACAGTCAATATAGGGTTCTCCTGATTGTTTGACATGGTGAAAAGTCCTGTTGCCAGACATAGGGTACTTCCAGCAGCCATCTTCTTGACCCAGGGCAGCAGTAACTCCTAAAGGCACAATGCAGAACTTCATGTTGAGACTGAGGCCCTATAGGAAGATGATTTGAGGTTTAATATCACCATCACTAGTGATCACTTCAAACACCTTCATAATCACTATTTAGACTCATCCAACTCTTTCTGAATCTTCTGCACTGTCCTCAGATTGATACCCAAACACTCTTAAATGTTTGAATTGAAACTTCTATCATGAATATCAAGTAGTACGGCATGCTGTTTCCAAATTTCTAGTGGAATGAATTATGTCATGGTGCTCTTTTTCTCACAGACAGTGCCCAAACTGACCCTACTATACTGCGCAGTTGACAAAATCAAAGGCAAACAACACACATATGCAAAATTAAAAAATACAAAATGGCAACAATTTATCTATTACACACTATATACTAAACTTGTCTATTCTAGTCCTTTCATCTAATAGATTGTTTGGGTGTCATGCTGGGCATTTTCCCTTTATGGCATCTCTTCAGTCAATGAGAGCAACTTAGCAGTGCCTATTCAGGTAATATATAACAGATTGTGCTGAGTTACATGGTACCAGCAACAAAGAGTAATCCTGGACCAATTGAAAAAAAAAAAATGGAACCAATCAACATTAGCAGACTAACTCTTGGTTTGGAATCATTTGGCCATATGCTAGACTGTTGCCAAACAAGGTTATACAACTTAGTTTTCCTGCTTTTTATCCATAGCTGGAAAGAGGAGTGAATTCATGCCTTTCTCAAGGACAAATTTAGCACCCACCATTTTGGTAATAACTTGAACTTAGTTTATCAATTCCATTTTTCTCTGCTATAAACTGTCAGGCTTATAATGGAGTATCTAATGAAATTCTTCAACCTTGCTAAATTTCCATACTAATTATCAGCCCAGAGCAGGAACTGAATATGTCACTGATGTGTAATGACAAGAGTTAAAATATGTAACTAAAAATAATTAACCCTTTTAGCATACTTGTTTTTCAGAAAATACTTGTTAAATTATTGGTAAAACATTTTGGGGGTTTCATATTCCTGAGTAAGTTATTTTACATTTTCAAGTAAAAATGTATAGTAAAACAATTTTTCTTATTAAAGGTAACAATTTATTAAAACAAAATAAAACTTGATCAATTTGAATGTTTTCATAAAAAATTCAAATTGAAATATTTTAGTGTGTCTATTTGAGTAACAAGAATAATTCTCTGATCATTTTTTTTTTCTCTTGCAATTCATGTAGTCTTAAAATGAGAATATTTTGATACACATTTATCTCATTGCTATCTCTCTCTCTCTCTCACACACACACACACACAATATATGTATATATATATATATATATATATATATATATATATATATATATATATATATATATAAAATCTTCAGAACCTTATGCAAGAATAAGAATTATGAGGTGCTACCCAAAATTTCAGGAAACTCAAGGTGGGAAATAGTTTTTTCAAGCAAAATGAAAATTGGTTAGAAAATGCTGGTCTTTATTACCTGATGAATTGATTTTTGAGAGACATGTAAAATATTTGGTGAGATATGGAAACTAGTGGGTAAACATGATTACATTTGTGTGTGTTTTATGCAAGAATAAAATTTTCAAATTAGTGGTAGATATATATGCAAGGTGATACCAGAAAGCACAAAATGTCCAAGACATGGTTAGTGAATTTATACTCACTTTTGTATGTTTATTATTCTTGTGTCACATGTCCTATTTTTGGCATTGACATTATTTTGCTGAATAACATAAAACTCGTTAATAAATTCTGATTAAATGCTTGATGCTTTATTTAGTTCCTTTGTTTTTAATTTCTTTTAAATCTTTATTTAATAGCTAAAATGTGGAATGTTTTGATATGCATTTTGTTTAACACACTAATGATCAGTATGCAATGAACATTTGTTAAACTAATTTTATTTTTAATTTTTTTTATTATTTGGTGCATTGGATCCTTTTATGAGAAATTTAACTACATTGCACACCTAAATTTGTCCATGTTTTTATGTTATTCAGGTTGAATAACATAAAAAAACAGAAATCTCTTGTTCATAGTGCAACAGCTCTGTTTGTCCTTACAATAGGAAATCAACCAATAAATGGAATTAAAAAATGTTTACAGTAAAATGCAATTTACATTATAATCTTTTATAACTAAGAAGAATTTATTTGTTTTGTAGCTAAAAGGAATGACTTGGTTCCTTGTGCCAAAAGGTGTGGTTTGTTTTACATTGAAATGAAGAAAAATAGTTTATCAAACATTCATTTGTCTTATTAGTTTTCTGTGTTATTTATAATTTATTTTCCAAATAAATGTCTTGAAAGGCTTAAAGATAAGAATTTGATGGAAGGAAGGGTGTCGTGTCAGAAATTTTAATATTTTTAATTAAGTTTGTTTTTCATATTTTTTTAAATTACCTGCTGATTATCTCCTGTAATCACATCAAATTGCTAATAAAAATGCTTCAATACTGAAATGCAGACAATTTGAGATGATCTTTGTTTCTTCTTTAAAATGCAGGGACAATTTGAATATTCTTCGTACAAAGCTAATTATTTGCATTGAAAAATATCTGTGGAATTGAAGTTTAATCACCTCATTCAAGTATATGTCTTTACCAAAAGATTTAATACTGTTTTTTCTTTCCTTTTTCCTTCTCTCTAGCAAACTGACTTAGATGGTGAGGTTCCAGCTACAACAGTGACACCAGTTACTACTGTGGCACAAGTCGGAACCACAGGGCCCAAAAAAAATTCATGTTTCAAATATTCCTTTTCGGTTCCGAGAAGCAGACTTGAAAGGGTTATTAGGGGTAGGTGTCTCTTTCTTTTCTTTTTACTTACATTTTTTGTCTTTTCATTAACCAAATTTTTAAGGGTTATTGCTTTACAGCTGCTGAAAAGGTTTAAATAAAAGAATTCAAATTTTTTATTTATTTTAAAAAAAATTTAAATTTATCTTGGTAGGTTTAAATTGGATATTTTGTGAATGGGTATGTGCAAACAGTCTTGGTAAATTAGAATAATAAATTGTTGCCATTTGCCAAAAGATGAACATTATTTAAGTTTTCTGTGATGTTTTATTCAGATTATAAAGGGAAAAAATGAAATAAAAAAAGCAAAACAACAAATAGTTGGGGGTTTAATTGACTGTTGTAATGACAAAGGCTGATGACACTCAACTTAAAACAAAAATCTGTGTTTTTGCCAAAAACATCAATCACTAATGGTAGTAGTTTTAAATCTTGTTATTGCTGAAGCTTTACCAAATATCCATATTTGGGACTGGGATATTTCTTTAAAAAGTTTACTGAAAAATGTAATAATTTTCTTCCTGAGGTTCACATTGCAAAAATAACTTGTCAAACTAGTCTAGTACAATCATTGCTTTCACTGCCTTCATCACCATTTATGAATTATCTGGAATCTTTATCCAATTCACTGCCAGACTAAGAAAATTGAGGAGAAAGGAATTTATCAGGTGATATCTTATCAATCCAGGACAACTATTGCTTTCACCATGTACAAATCTTGATATCACCATTCTGTTTACTGCCAAAGTAAGAAGACTTAGAATTTGTTAAAATATTGTCAGTTTCCTTAGATGTATATGAAAGATATTTGCTGATTTCAAGTTAAGAATTAAAAATTAGTCTAAAAATAAAAATGTTTTCTGCATTTAATACTTGAAAAATCACTAATAACCTTGTAAATAGTTGGACAGCAGTTAAATACTGTTGGTCTTGAAGGTACAACTGATAGATAAATTTTTGTGTGCCTGTGAGTGAGAAGTAGAGATAATTCAAGATTTTGTTCAAGGTAAGATGTTATTTTGGTGAATTGTATTCTTTGCGATAAATGAAAAGAAGTAATTTTTATTTTTTTAAAAATTCTTTCATGATTTACTTGTTTATTTATTTTTAAATGAGATTTTAAAAAATTAACCCTTTTTCTACTCTGCTGGAGTGCCTATTTCAAACCTCTGGTGGTTGGTGCCTTTTCCAGAAGTTCCTGGAAGGCCTTCATCCTTCTATGCATCTTTTGAATAATTAAAAGAAAAAAAAGCTTGTTTCTTTTTTCCATTAGCCTTACATGTGTGATTTCCCCACCTCCTTAGATTGGCTTATTTAAAACTAAATTGACAGAATTAATTAAAATAAAAGGCAGATCAGCACTAACTCCCAGGCTTGACTGTGAGTGACACACAAAAAAAAAAACTTTAAAAATTGATTGTTGGTGTGATTGTTAATTAACACACAACATTTGACTATTACCCTTTAGTTATTCCTACAATGGGCCCAAAATGTTAAAAAAAAAAAAAAAGAGAGAAAAAAAAAAAAAAGAAAAAAAAAAGGCTCCTCCAGGTCAAGTTTGGGGACCAAATGCTTTTATGTGTGTGTGTGTGTGTGTGCATCGTGTGTGCATCATGTATGTGTGTGTGTGTGTGTGCACATTTTGTGTGTGGACAGCAATAATAATAATAATAATAATAATAATAATACATTTCTGCACGTGTTTTTGTGCATGTAGGCAGTCAGGACACACTTTAAGTGACTTTTTCTTTTCGGGCATGTCCGCAAATGTGTTATTGTTACTTCTGCTGCCGCACATTTATTAAAAATAATGGTCCTGTGTATATGCATGGGTGCATGGTTCAGCGCATGTCTTGCCTGCGTGCCTGGACTTACACGTGCAAATTACACGTATCATCTTTTTTTTCTTGTTTCTATTCTTCAAAAAAAAAAAAACATTGCTCATTTTTCTGTGTGTGTTAATGTGTGGATGTATGGAAGCCTGTGTAAGTAAACTAAGTGTATATAAACTTATGACTGTGCCTTTCTCCCCACCCAAATCACATTTAAAAAGAACTAGTATTCTATTGTTAATACACGCACATACACGTACAAATACACAAAGTACAGGGTCAATTTTTTTTTTTTTGTTACCTTAATTCATATTATAGATGCATCTTTTTACTTTTCATTTTATAAAATAGTCAAACTAGAATAAGTAATAAATAATTTTGATAATCAGAATAAAATAAATAGAAATTACTCTTTTTAATAATCAAAATAGAATGTTCCTTTTATCTATATATATATATATATATATATATATATATATATATAAATAAAGTGTGTGTGTGAATATCTTAAAAAATATATAACAAATTTACGATGCTACTGTGGTTTTCATTCCTTGGATCTTCTAACTGGTTTGGTTACCAAACCACCTGGAGCATCTGAGGTGTGAAACAGCAGTAACTTGGTTAGGTTGCTATATCTTTTGAATATTGATCACTTATAAAATATACTGGAATTGGTCAATTTTGGGGTAGAATTTATCCCATAGTTGACTGATATAAGAAAGTATGTAATTTTTTTTTTTTTAATTTTGTTTTTGGTATTAAATAAAATAGATGTGTGGGGGATTTTTAATGTTTGTTTTTTTAAATAAATACCTAAATCTTAAAGATAATAGTGGCACACAATGGGAGGAGGGGAAATCAATTCTGAAATTTAACTCCTTCAATATTCTATTTAATTCATATTGTACCTATCTTGCTGTAAAATATCCAGAAGATTCCAAATAGTTCCTTCCTTGATACATAAATTAATTCTAGTAAATATTTCTTTCTATGACTGAAGGAATTAAAAGTCAAATGAAAGAGGAGAATTTTAATGATTTTGATACTTCTTCATATTTTGTCTTCATGAATAATAGTTGTAGACATCTGTCAATCTTGGGAGACTATGAAATCTCCATGTTGCAAATGCCTGCTTTGGCACATTTATATTTCTTCAGCACCCACAGAGCCAACCTTTGGTTTATAATGTAACTATACTGAGTGAGCCTTAATTAGTGTTTGGGAGAGTGCACAGCATCTGGTATAATAAGGAGTTGAGCAAGAATAGTATGCTCAAACCCTTAATCACAGTGACTTGTGACAGCACAGCCATCAATGGCTTTCAATCAAGTTTGTCTACTCAATTCCACTTACAAGAGTTGGGTAAATTTGTGGTATAATTTTTATGAATTTTAACATATTTGCTAAGCATTGACTACAAAATATATATATTAGTTTCTCCAGTCTCTCTGAAACTAGAGCATTCTGCTAAAAATTTTTATCAGCAGAAATAGTGTAAAGCAAAGAAGCAATTATCATGATGTTATATGGGTAAGCTTTTTGTGAACACTTAAATTATAAAAAAATTCTCACTTGCTTTTTTCTCTTTTAATGACAAAGGTGTTGGTGCAACAGTATCAATAATAGAAAACCATTCAGTTCAAACAAAACTTGGAATGACTCTTAAGTTATAAACAATCACCCATACATATTATGTTGATCCAGTTTATTCTCCATGTGGATAATACTTTCACTATCCACACTGACTTAATTCTGGTTTAATCTTTTGTTATTACATCATTTGGAAATTCCAAACTAGTTTAAAATAATTTATGAATCTTAGGTTTTATGTGCTTGGAAGTGATTACATCAAATGGAATGCAAACTTTTGGAATCTTTGTTATTTTTTATTTTAAAGCAAGTAAATTCACTTTTTAGAGCTTTACTTTCACAAATGTTAAATGCATTTATGTATACACAAGTTTAAAAGATAATAAAAGCAGACATTATTTTTAACATTTTTCATTTGGTTGGCTTTTGCCATATCCTTAGGAAGAATTCCAAAAATTTTAAGCACCAGAATTGTGGTTTGCATACTGGCACTGTTTCTAGTATTTTCTTACTCTCCCCTCCGTTTTGACCTGTAGGTGCCCTGATAATCAATATTCTATCGATGAATTGAACACTACTACTTAAAAAAAAAAAAAATCCACATTGTAATTATATGTTTATTTCTCTGTTTCATCTTGTTATCCTTGTTTTTTTAACTATTTGTGTCTATCAAACACAATAACCTCTTTGTTAAAGCACCCCTTTTGTTTTTTTTTATTTTCTCTTTCTTCTCTTTCTTCTCTCCCCTATCTGTACTCCGTTTTCTTGACATACATCAGGTAATGAGTTTTTTCAACTTAGAAACTTCTCTTTCCTCTCCATTCTCTTTGCACCCTGCCCCAAATTCTTAATTGATGAAAAGTGTTTATTTTTTTATAATAATAATAATAATAATAATGATGATGATATGTGATTGGAATCCTGGAAACAATCTAAAAGAACTTATCAGAGAGGCTGCAAATCTTGGAATTCCGGGGAAACAATTCAATCCAGGCAGCAGCTCTACTAAAATAAGCTAAAATGAGGAGAATGATGAAGTATTGAGGAAACTCGGTGTCACTAAATCTCCAATGAAAACCGCTAGTCATGACTGGTGTGAAAAATATATTATTATAATTATTATTATTATTAATTATTTTATTTTTTATACAAGTTTTATGATTTGTTGTATGTGGTTTGAAATATCAGTGGTAAAATGTTCTTTTTGCAGCAATTTGGGACAATTTTAGATGTAGAAATTATATTTAATGAACGTGGCTCAAAGGTAAGTGTGACTTCCAGTCCTATGGTATATTTTTCTTTTTTAGCAATCAATGTTAACCCCCCAACTCAAAAAAGTTCATGTTGGTTGTAGATATTTGTGACTTTTTTGTACTTGATATTCACTCCTTTGCCATCCTAAGTTTGCTTTTACAGAATCTTATAATTTGTTTTTATAGAATATCTTATAATTTAATAGAAAGAGTTTGTTCTGTATATAGAAATTTAAAAAAAAAAAACTGTCTGATTATGGTGCAATATTGTATAGATTTTACATTCTGTTTCCTTTTTTGGTGGTATTTTCAATTGTGCTAAGTGACTCAAGATTTAGGATTTTCTACCATTGATGTACAAGAACACAATTTTAAGTGGAATATCTGTGCACCAAAATTGTTTGCTTATTTTAATTTAAAAAAAAAAGTAATTAATTATCAAGATGTAATCTGATTTTCTCTCATCACTAATTTGTATTTGTCATTTCTCTCATCTCCAAGAAGCTTTCAATGAATAAGAAGGAAGGAAGAAAAAAAAAAATGAGTTCATTATCATTTGAATATTGGGTGTCTTAAGAAAGTACTTCAAATATTGGCCTGAAGGAAAGTTTCTTAATTTATATGATGAGTAAATTCCACTCCTTGCCTCTGTACAGATGATTATTCTTTTAGAAGACTCTTGTTCTGTTTTTTAGCTTGGAAGTGGGATTACGGGGATGAATGTGATTATTGGTATTATTAAACAAATTCAATTCATCCATTAATCACTTTAAAGGGAAAAAATAAAGAAATTATCTTTGCATCAAACAATGTTTTTAGTTAATGCATTTTTTAATTTAATCTGTTAGTTTGAAATTAAGACTAAAATAAATGCTTCAAGAAATATTTTTAATTTTTCAAAATTCATTTTAAAACTTAGGTATCACAAATCTATGGAAGTATCTTTTTTTTCTGTACAATTGTAAATAAAGGCAATGAGTAACAGACTTGCTATTTTATCCTTAAAACGGTTATTTGTGGCATGTACCATAAAGTTGTATGTGCACATAGCATAAGGATTATTGCCACAGAAAGTTGGATTGGCACGTTGAGTTCAAATTCTGGCCAAGGCTATTGTTAGCCGTTGAAATAATTCACTTGGGAAGATATAAATCCATTTCTCTTACCCTCAGCTAGGAGTTGAAAGCAGGTCAGATTAGGTTCTCTGGATTTGATTAACAACTCCAGAAGAAAAACAAATATTAATTCAAAACTTGTTGAATGTGGGGTTAGCAATTCCACCCCATAAAAGCCTACTTGTTATGGAAACCACAGCAGCAATAACTAGTATGCTGTGAGTGTAACTCTACATTCCACAAGGGAATCTACATAGTTTATATAACCTTAATAGTTCTAAGCATAATGATATCTATTCCTCTATGAAGAGTGTTAGACAGTATTCAATTTGAAACAAAACCATTAACCTTGTTGATCAGAAGTGACAATTCAAGTTGAGCACTTAGTAAACTTTCCTCATATTTATTATTTCAATAGAAGAGATGAAATGGTCATCAGCTGCAGACATGCCTTGAAGGAATAATACATACAGAAATATTTTTAAAAATCACATAAAAATTAATTTGAATTTAATGTTATAGATTTTGAAATTAGTTGCTGAACAGTTGCTTGGCAAATTTGTAATTCTTAATTATATAAGAAATAAGATGATGTTAAGGTTCTGAGTGGGCAGTGTCTCAAGTTTTGTCTCTTTATAGGCTTCTGTAAAGGAATTGTTTTAAGGTATGGTCCATGGAAAAACTCTCCAGATATCAGATTCAAAGTTAAGATTACATTGGAAATTACTTTATTCAAAATTTATGCTGATTAATCAGTCAGATTAAAATTTTGACTAAAAAGCAACAATAAGATGATGAAAATGAGCCTAATATTCATGATGAAAATACTTAGACTAGCTGATTTGACAGTAATTATTTAACCTAACAAGTTAGATAAAAGGAAATAAGACAGACAAAAGCTTAACTGAAGATTAATAATGAAAATAATTATACTATTTAACTGAATGATTGATCTAGTTAAAAAGCAACAATAAAATGAAGAAAAAACTTCTCAAATGTTATTAATGAAAACTAATTATTACAAATAATTTATTTGCTTCAATTAAGTTTTTTTTTTTTTTTTTGCAATTAACAATATACAGGCATTTCTTAATAGTAATTATTTGGAATGTAGGCTTTGACACTCACATTTTTAGAATTCCTTTATAAGTTGAATGCAATTGCAAATACTTATTTGTCTAAAGGGTGTATATTTATGCTCAGTAGTTCAGGCATCAGCTGATAAGGTTTAACACTATTCTATGCATTGCTATAAAAATACTCTTGGAATACTGTTAGTCATAATAATTTGTCAAATGTCAAACTTTATTTAAACAATTGAATTCCTGCATTGTTTTTGTTGATGTAGTTATGACTATTTTTTCAGTTCATTTTACAAATCTATAATCTGTAAGGTAAAAGTTTTTTTTTTTTTAAATCACAATTGTCTGATTCAAGTTTGAAATATTAATGACTTTTCTTAGACTTGTAGATACTCTATTGTATATTTTAATGTTTGAAAAAAACAAGATAAGAGGTACATGAATTTGTTGACTAGTATTTTTTTATTTTAATTTCAGTTACCATCAAACTACCCAGACAATCATTGTACAGATGTTAAATAAAAAGCAACTGAAATTAAAATGAATAAAATACTGATCAACAGTTAATAAAGACTGACAATTCTTTATCAAATGGTAATGAAATTTAAGATAATATTAAAGCTGGAGAAAATTTAATTTAATTGTATCTTGAACTCGTGAATATCCTTTTAGTATACATTTTTTGTTTTTCATCTGACATGTAGACCAAGTGGTCATAAGGGAGTTAATTAGATGTGACACTGGGTCATACATTATTTCCAGACTTAAACATTATGTTTAATTTTTAACTTAGAGGTGAAGGAATAATTATTAACCACATTATAAGTCATTGCTGAATAAAGGGCTTTACCATCTGTTTCCAGGACAACCAGAACTATGCTCTTTTCTTGCCAGCAAGTTTCTCTATTTCATCTTTCTATTGGTCTTTTCCTTGTACATTTGTTATTCATTGGGCAGCAATCAACCAACCTTTTTCTCCATCTGGTATCCTTTGTTTTTGCTATGTGTCCCTCCATCTCCATTTTTGTTGTTTAATCAATTGTATGATATCTTTAATTTTGGTCTGTTTTCCAATCCCTGTTGGCATCATTCTATCTATTACAGTTTTTTCTAAACATGAGTAAATAAAATGTTATTTTGGTTTAAGAGATTTGGATTTTGTAAATTCAGGATGGAGTGAATATCAAGTGTTCATAATAGTCACAACTAACATCGACTGAACTGGAAGTGGGGTTATCAACATTTTTTTTAATATGGTATTCGTTAAGCATATCTGAACCTTTGTCAATTTAATTTTCCCCCAATCTAGTAATGCAAATGGCATTCGTTTTGAAAGGTCACTTAAATTTTTCAGACAATCTTCTGATTCCGTTATTTATCAAAAACTTATTTTAAGTCAGTTTTTGGTTTATTTGTTTGAAAATGCAAATTTTATTTCCTTCTATAAAAGGAAATTAACAAAAAAAAATCTAATTAAACATTTAGTATTAAGACCCATTTTATAATTTAAAGATTTTTAATCTTTTTTGCTTTTTCATTCTAATGCAGAAAATTTGACAGTTATAATTAAAGATTAAAAAATAACCAGAAAGGTAAAAAGTCCCCACCACCAAACTTTAAGTTCACTATTTTGTATTGTAAAATTGAACATAATTGCTATCGAATACCAAAAATTTTTTTTGTTATCAAGTAGAATGAAACTACAGAATTTTTTTTTTTGGTTCTTTCATGAGTTAAAGTATTTGTATATACAATTTACTTTTGGTTGGAAAGTAAACTATTCACCAAAAATTGATAAATTATTTATTCAACAATGAAAACAGAAGGTATATACTAGCATTGACTTTTTTTTTTTTTTTGTTTGAGTATAAATTGTACATTAGCTTTCTGATTAAAACATGGCATTTTAATACATTACATTGTACATTAGCTTTCTGATTAAAACATGGCATTTTAATACACAGATAACTGTAAAAATCAAACAATCTTTCTTTTCATTTTTGTAAGAAAAAATGATGCCAATATGAAAAATTCTGACTTTTTAAAATATAGGTTCCATCCCGCAATTTTGATTTTAAAATAACTGCCATAAAAAATCAGAAATGTTAATATTTTTTTCATGTGCAAAATGGTTTCAAGAAGAAAGACAAATCTTTTTAATGGAGTTTTTATGAAAATATTTCTTTATTCTTTTAATTTTTCAACTATAATTTCTTTCATCTTAATTTCAGCTTTTTTGTTACAAATTAGAGACTTGCATTCTGTGATCATTACTAAGCAGTGTTGCTCAGAAATTAACAAAATAAAAAAAATGAATATAACGTTATCCTTTTTTCTATTATTAAAACCTGCATGTTTGGCATTTTTGTAAGAAGTCTGAGATTTTAAAACCTTGTTTTATAGTCAAATTTTAATTAAAGCCTTTTGTTAATTCAAACTAATTTTTTCTGTCAGTATAAAATTTGTAGCATTAATCATAAAAGCACTATATATATATATATATAGCTTTGGTGATTAATGCCTTAAATTTTATACTGACAGACTATATAGTATATATTTGATTGGTTGTTTTTTCGTACTGAATGACATTTTGAAATTTTCTATCAAATTTAAATTAATTTTTCACAAATTATGATTAAGACACTAATTACCCAGCAGAGCATAAAAGGTGAACTTATTAAAACTATAGGTTCATATACATCACTTTAGGGTCAGTGAAAATCTTTTTTTTTTTTTTTTTTTTTTTTTTTTAAATTTATAAAATCAAAACTTTGTTTACATTTAGCTATATCACTAAATTTACAACCTGTTTAT